CCGGTGTGGATGCATGGGGTGGACTTGTCATAGGTTCCAGAGAATCTCTGCCCCATAAAATCGATACTCCACGTGTACGTATGTCCAACAGACTACTAGTTGATGGTGTACATAGTATATATTTTTGTCCTATCGCCTGTAATACGTCAACGTTGGTGTCATGTGTTATCTTTTTATCGAGCTCTCCCCCCTCTTTTTTCCACCCCCTACCCCGATTTGTTCTTTCTGTCTCTTGTCTTTCTTTGTACACATATATGTGTAAACAGAAACTGACAGCAGCCAAGTGTTTGAGGACACAAGTGACATTTCAAACGTATACTTGCCAGTCTACTTGACTCGTGTCCATTATAAGGAAACATTGCTCTAGTGACGGCGTGAGAAATGAACTCGTATGTATGTGCGGCTCGTCGCTTCTTCCGGGGAAGAAAGGAGATTGAATATTTCGTTGCAGTACGGATTTTACCAGCACCGCGTATGTAGGATATTTTTCCACGTTTGTGAAATAGGTATATCGACGCGTCACAAACTTATACTTTGTTTGAAGTAAACTTTCAGTTTAGAATAATTTAATTTGTGGTTTATGTTTTCCGGCGATTCCGAAACGCGTACAAGTATGCGGAAAACGCAACGCGTCCTCCGCCACAATGTAATTGTATAAATATACACGAGACGAAAAAAAAGAGGAGTCTTCAACTACAAACTGTGAGTTTCTCGGTCCAACGCATAAAAATAGGCAGGTATATGTATATATACATGTACATAATGAATAAAAACCCGTTTGGTACACTATATAGTGCAGGGGGATTCTCATGAGTTTCAAGGACCGCAACGTTGGCTGCCTGAGATTGCCTTGGAGACTGTACAGCAAGTACAAACAGTAAGTAGGTATATATGTTTATGTATAAGTACGTCTCTTTTGAAATCGAGACTCTCCCGTAGCCTGTATAATTAAGCTGTTCTCTTGCGCCTCGGAATTCTCCTCACGATGTCATTGTAACTTGACTAAAAAAAAAAAAAAGTGATTCCACACTCCAAGGTCACGGTTGCTCGCCCACGCTGCATCAGATACAAGATCTCATTACGCAATGCGCGTGTACGTGCGCAAGGCGATGGTGATTGAAAAAAAGAAGCGCGTAAGTGTGTACCAACACAGTGAAAGAGACAACAAAGACTCTCGTTTCCGAGTGAGCAGCTAAAGCTCGATGAAGAGAAGGAGAACGAGAAAAAATTGAAAAGGAACGACTGCGCGGGAGGAGATGAGGAAGAAAGGCAGGAGGTGAAACGGGTCGAGAGAGAGAGAGCAGCGGGTACAGGGGTCTGATCGGAGCATTCGATATCTCGCTCAAGTAAGCAGTTTTTTTCGATAATCCCTAAACTACGCATGCGCATTATCGTTATTTTTGGTTATTTTATAGGGATTATCGAAAAAAACTGCTTACTTGAGCGAGATATCGAATGTCCCGGTCAGACCCCAGCAACCGTAGACATACATATGCACCAAGACGGATAGACATGCAGACGAATAGGGTTGAAAAATATTACTGAAGTGTAGCGCGGAGCGCACGGAGTGAAAGAGGGAGAAAAAAAAACGAGCTTGATTTACGAGACGCAACCAGAACCAGAGCTCGATGGTGCTTCGCGTGTGTGCGTGCGTTTTCCCGACTTTTCGTTTTATCGGGGGAGAGATCGATAGTGGATGGAGTAAAGATGGAAATTTTTTTTTTCTGCGTGATAATATCTACAGATAAATTAGTCGTACGAGTAGACGGTACTTTTGAAACGATATCAGGTTGACTATGCGGATGTTGGAGGTATCTACATATGTACACCCATACTTTCTTTGTACGTAAGTATACATGAAAGTTTTTAGTCACCCTTGCCAGACCTCCTCTCCGGAGCACATATCATATATTATACCCACTCGTGTTGGGTGCGAAACTTATATATATATATATATATATTTCCACCTCCGTGGGCTTGCAGTGATATATTATTTTTCTCATCCCCCGCGTATACTGTATCTCGTAAATGGCGCGAATCACAAACTGTGGAAGTTAAAGGAAGAAAAAATGGCTCAGCTCTTGGTTTTGTATCGAATTCGACGTGTAAAATTGCGCGAGGAAAGGATCGAGGGAAGCTCTCTCTATCGGGGAGGGGCCGTGGTTCATTTCTTTCTTCTCGGGAGGTACTTTGCTCGTACTCGGGAAAAGCTGAAACGAGTTATCGGATTGGATTCGCGGATTATACGTAAAGTCGATTCGTGCGCTTTTACTTACATGTATATGCGTACACACAGGTATAATATATAACGTTTAAGGGTGGAGTGAGAGGCCGAGTGAACTACGGTGGACCATGTATGTATGTATAGGGGTGATAAATGGATGGAAAGGCCGAGCAATTGTTCACGGGTCGTGCATCAAGGGGTTCGAGGAGTATTTTTACCCTCGATCTGTGGCTGGCACCGTACCCGAAGAATCGAGCAAGTTTGGAGGATGCATTTGTTTTTTTTTTTTTTTTTTTTTTGCAAAGTTTGGAGACAAACGATACACGGGGTCAAGCTTACTTATTTGACAGATTCGAGCGATTCATTGGCGTCAATTAGGCAACATTAACAGCACGAGTAATCGAGAATCGCGTGTCTGACGTGTAGTATCGACACCCCCCCCCCCGTGTCCTATTACCCAAGGCTCCGTAAATGAAGTTTTACGAGAAACATAAGTACACACCAGAGCTGATGTTGGCCTATTCCTTTTCCAATGTGCGTATTTTTGATGAAAAAGAAAAAAAAAGGACCAGTTTGTTGCGCGATGAATCAACCAATGCGGTACGTGTATGGTATTTGGCTTTGTTTTTTTCTTCACCTTTTATTCCAACCACCATGTAATTATTATGTACTCAAGGGGTACTTTCATCTTTTAAAAAAACATTTGAGCACACCTACGCGCGATATATGACCCTATATGTTTGCGAGCCCTCGAATCTCTGTAGAATAGAGTCTAGTGCACGACCGGATTGGTAAATGGGGAAGAAAGCAGTGAAAACAATGGAAAAATAGATTTCGTATCAATTCAATCGCACTAATCACTCCAGAGCGAAGAGTTGCATCGTAAAGAGAGAGAGAGAGAGAGAATTCACGCGCACTCAGAGTGATAAATTCGACCAATTAATCTTGGTAAGTGAATTTCCGTTTTTTTTTTTTTTTTTTTCATCCACCGCAGCTTCAAGTACACGTATATATATACATGCGCGCACCTGCAATGCATCATAGGCTCATTGAAACCCCTAGTCGCGAGCCATCGTTCACGAGAAAGAGAAAAAAAATCAGCTCCCGAGGTGGAGTAAAAAAATCATTCGAACCACGTGTACGACCCACGTATAGACCGGCTTTCTCCGGCCGCGGCCTGTGAACCATCATCACTCATCGTCCTCGTCGGGAAGGGATAGAAGAAAAAGAGGTAAAAAGCAGTAGGTGTGCGCAGGGGGTGGGCTGTCAAGCGGTTCAGCGCGTTCGCGGAGGCAGACTGAAAACTCTCCCCTGCGTCTCCCCCGAAAACTTCACTTGCGCTCTTTCTCTCTCTCTCTCTCTCTTGCAGGCACGTATATATACGTAAGCCACCAGCGCGACGCCCTCGCTAAACTTACCCACGCGCCCCCTCCAAGGCTCGCCTCGCCGCACACATCCCCTCGGAGCATGCGTGATGCTCGTATATACGTGTACCCCAATGGTAGGGAGGAATGGTAATACGATCGCGCGTGCATGCGTATGTTACACGCACACACATAGGAATCACCGTGGAAAGAAGGGGGCGTCGCACATGCGCTCCGGGACAACGCGTGCAGGGGTGGTTGGGGCACCACTGTACAGCTCGATCGCGTAAGTGCCGGTTTTTTTCTTTTTTTTTCTTTTTTTTTTTCCTCGTAGTGGCCCTTCAAGAAAATTCGAGGGTCTATCGAGAGAGCGAGAAAAACTCGCTCAAGACGGAGGGGGTTGCTTTTCCGTGAACGCACGCATTGGTGTCTTTGAAATAGAAAATATAACAAATATAATTGAGGAATAAAACTGTGGCGTTTGAGTAAGTTATGATTTTTACTGTTCTTCGCTCGTGCTTTTACGAGGGGCTTCCGTGCGCGAGCTTTAAGGGTTGACGAACTGCATTAAGACCACTGCGAAGCTTTGTCTTGGGACTCTGTAGAATGTGATGAGTAGTGCTTGAAATTACATAAGAAAAAAACGGCCCAAAATCGCCCCGCGGGTCGGTGTCGGGGAGAAAGGTGGGGCGAGAGCGAGCAGTCGAGAGGGAGGGCACGGCGCCGCGCCGCCGCACGGTCGGCCCGTCAAGCGCCAGTGTCAATATGGCCGTAGCCGCGGACGGAGCTGCTATTGTCGCCAGCGAGTCGTCGTCGTCGTCGCGTACAGTACCGGCTCAATCGCTATCCGAACATTCCGAACGCCCGCGCCGCGAAACAGTGGCCACCCAGTGCAGCCGCTACTATACTGTCGCGCTGTTGTCGTCGCCGCACCTGGGGACAACTCCGCCCTCGGGAGCCACCATCCGACGATTCGAGTGCCCCCCGCCCGATCGGCTCGTCGAGATTTAAATTGAATAACCAGGGAGCAGCACACGTTTTGATGATTACACCGATAGCGAGCAAAAATTGAGAAAAATAAAGGAGCCAATTGCAGCGAGTACAAAGTACTTTTACAAGTTGACGTTTTTTCAACGAGTACCTACACCAAGGGAGGAAATAGAGAAAAAAAAAGAAACTCATGTGCTCCGCTCCGAAACATTGTACGCGCCGCGTGCGACAAACGTCCGTGCACGCATTGAGCATCTATATATAAAAAATACCGAGGACAAGAGGAGGGATGGGGGGGAGGGAGAACAACTCGAAGCGGAGCGTGCATATTCTCCTTCAGTGAGAGTTTGTCTCGAGCACCGCGCGCTCCCGAAACATCGGAGAAGCAGAAAGAGAGAGAGACGCAAAAGGAAAAAAAAAAAAAAAAAAACAGTATACCCGCTGGGGGGAAGCTGAGGTTATTGGCGCGCTTGATACGAGCTGTTGTGCGCGATTTACGTAACACCCGGTTGACGCGCTATGAAGCTCGGCGATTCGTCGCGAGAGGGTTGAAACCACCAGCCCCTATCCCGTTGTGCTGGGGATTGTTGTGTTTTTCTTGCGACTGCTGACTCGAGGAGATACGATGAAGAACGGCAATCGCTCCGGACGAGGCTACGGTGCCGCGGCGCCACAAGAGGAGGAATCTGCGGGTGACGACGACCGCGACCACTTACACACTGGTAATTGCGAGAAAGAAAAAAAATATACATGCATATGTGTGTACCCTCACACGATTTCGGCTCTTTCGCGAGGGACAAACTTGAGAAGAATCTTAATTTAACGATACACCGTATTGGAGAATCGTAAAACGCAACGAGCACGTATATACATGGTAGAGAGCGAGAGTCACCCTGCCACGATGTCTTTCCGACTTGGTTCGTTATGTACGCTAGAAAGGGGGATGTTGCCCGCGTGTGTGTGCGCGTACAAGCTCACGGGGTCGCACGAGGGGAGAGGCGCAAGGGTGTATGCTCCTCTCCTTCTATATCCGAGTGCGATATTCGGACTCGCCCCTTGTGTCCTTTCTTGAGGACGAAAGTAGGGGTAAGTCGAGAGAGAGAGAGAGGAAGGAACGAGCAAGGGGAGAAATCGTGAATGGACCGATCGATGCGAGAGCACGTATACATGTACCTATGCGTTACAACGGGCGTAAGCGAACGAGGGAAGGAGAGGGATCGTGATAATGGTTTTTCTTTATTTGTTTCGGAGACCAACAGTCTTTCTTCCTTTCTTTGTACCTCCCTCGTGAAAAGGGGTTGGGTTAGCCAGGAATACCAATATATCACCTCCGTCGAGCGACCACGTAAAAATGATGGACTACAGTCGACACCGTGTCACAAGTGACCATATACGGAATGTATACGTTTTGCGATCGGAATATCTAACTGACGGTAATTTTTTTTGTTTTTTATCCGCCGGTTTTTTTAAATGACGCATTTCTCGTACAAAGACTCGTGCGGGTACTTGGACACGTACACGGTCCACAGAGATGGTAAGTCGAGTAAGTGATGTTTTACGCGTATACGGTGAACCGACACGAGTTTTTTTTCTTTTAACAAGAATACAAAAAAGTGTACATCGCAACAACAGAGACTTTTTCTTTTTTTTTGTCATCTGATGTTGTGTCTCGTTTTATCTATGGCTACACTTTGACTGTACATTTTTGATATTACGCAATACGTAAAAATAGGTGTATGTATATATGTATAACGGCACAGTCACGGGGATTTTATCTCTTCTTCCAATATGGCATTTGTTTCAACGTGTGCTTAGCATGTGTAGCTCGTACATTAGAAGTAAAGTGTCAAAAAAATATAAACGTGTTTCACCTCGCAAGTTTTAATAGCTCCACGCGCGTACAAGTGACCACATAATTGCATTAGCCGTTTAATAGAACGGAGTCTCCGAGATTCTCGTGCGAGCGTACACGATACAGACCAGAGATTTAATACATACTGTGTAGGCAGGGGAGCGCGATTTTCATGAGTTAATTCGAAAAGTAGAAATTATACGAAAAAGTCCTTCATCAACAACAATTGAACTTGAAACTTTTCCGATAAATCGGTTGTTTAACAGTTGTAAGTGGTTGACGCTCATTCTGCATTTTTACGAAATTTTTTGACGAATAAACCTCTTTAAGACGAAAAAAGTTGAAGAATTAAAATAAAAAAAAACTCGAGTAATCCTTCCTACGGCGTAAATTTCCACTTTTGGAGGAATAAAAATTTATTTCAAAAAGCTTCAACTTAATAAATAATCAGCAACCATCAAGAGCTTCGAGAATTTTTTTTCTCCTTACGATAGGCCAAATGTTAAAGTGGAATGTCGTGTTGGCTTCGTACGGTATCATAAGCCATTTTTTTTCCTGCCAAAAATTACAGCGACGAGAAAATAATACAAGCGCCGGGGCCCACGTATATATACACACGCTAAATGGTCTGGGGGTCGTCGCGTTCGGGTACACACACGCTCGAAGCGAAAGATTTATACGACCAGTTGTACGAAAAAACAAGTCGAATATTATAAACGCACTTGGGGTACGTACAGTCGAGATGTATAATATATAGATAGGTATACACACAAGAGAGTACACGCAGTAATGCCATTCCCTCCGCTATCGGTGTGTGTAAATATTTCGATTCGCTTCTCTCCTTCTCTCTTCTCGCACCAGTAGCCTTCCTCCTCCGACTCCTCTTAGTCTCGACGCAGGAGCCAAGGGATATCGCGTTATACACAGAAATTCATTGGCCGGATATAATTTACCCCCGCACGCACTCGTCGCCGATCCTTTTCTTCCCCACGCATATACATCAGCAAAACAATATTCCTGTTACTGTCGCCGCGTACTTATATTTTCTAGATAAACTCATTTCATGATGTTCCATCGACATCATCCAGCTTCCTTCTTATATATATCTGCTGCTGGGAGGGAGGAAAAAAAAATTGTGTCGCAATGGCGCTACCCGACGTATATACACGTAATTGTATTCAACCGTACGGGGAGGCCAGTCTCGTTTCACCCACAAATACACGCGCGCTTTAGGAGCGAGAGGGAGGACCTTTTTGTCCACTCCACGTATTATATGTAAGCGTCCTAAGGATGTACGGGCAGAAAAGAGAATAACCAAAGGACCAAAGTGCAAAAAAAAGGAGAGAGCGTGTAGCGAGAGACAGAGAGAGAGATGTCGAGGACCGTGGCAATTATAGTGTTGCAGCTTGAATCTAAATGCCTATGTGTGCGAGCGTGTATATACGTGGCACAGAGCAGTGGTACAAACGATCGATTCCCCGCTGGGCGCTCTTTTCATGCGCGAGATGAGAGAGAGCACACAGCGACAGAATCTGCAGGCCCGTGATGTACATAGCCTTTTGTTGATGACACCCTTTTTTTTTTTTTTTTTTTTTTTTTTTTTTTTTCGTCCCTTCGCCATTCCTCTCGCGCACACGCACTCTCCCTTAACTTCCTTCCTTCCGGTCTCTCTCTGTGCGTGCACGTGTGTGCGTATACGGTTAAGTTCGCCAAAGTAGCGGAAAGAGGGAAAAATGTTGGAACTCAAAAATTTCGTTGGGACACTAACAAGCGAGCGCGCACTCGTTTATTTTCCCAGTGCTTCGCCGGGCTCTCCCAGGTGTCGTGGGCCCTCTGTTAATTCTCGACCTTATATATACACACACGTCTATTTGTTCGGCTAGTTCGACAATGCTGGAGTTATTGTTGTTGGGTGGAAAATATAGTGGTTTTTTTTTTCCCCCTGGACTTTTCGGGAAAAAGTCACGCGGGGCAACGAGGAAATACATGAAAAGCGCGATACAGTTCAAACTCACCCCTCGCGTGGACACTTGCGTTAACGCGTTTGTTTTTTTTTTATACACCCTAAAAAAAAGGAAACTGGGTAAAAAGGCTTTTCACCCACACGGCAATTAAAAACAAAGAGCGAGGGGAGCGAGCAAGAACCCCAGAGAGTGACTGCAGGGGAAAATAATTAAATGAGAAACGACAAAAAAAAATAAAATAAGAAAAAAAAATATGGCTCAAACGGCTCCCCGCGACTACTTTACGAGTAATTCTTTTTTTCCCACCCCGAGCCCTCATATCGTGGTTTTATACACATATATTCTTTGTGCCTTTCTGCTCTTCCCTCGAGCGGCAAACAAACTATACGTTAACCGAAAGAGAAAAAATAAAAGTACACGCGTCTCCCTGCTTATCTTGTTATGCGCCATATATAACCGCAGCTCCTCTCTCCGAGCGCGGGTTTATCGAAATTTTTCAGGTGCGCTTGACTTTGTTTGTTTTTCCTCCACGCAAGCCGGCGATTGGGAACATTTAATTTTGCAAATTGAAAAAAAAATTCACGTCAAATCGCATCCTCGGTTTCCCTGTGCTTGACAACCCCCCGCTTCCAACTTGCACCCGACTGTATATGTAACATTGTTTGACATAGACGTAAATTAAAACCGTCACAGATTCGCTCCGAGACTTTGTCAAAGGTGAATCAGATGTGGGGAAAAAAGAAATGATGAATTGTCTCTGCCAAGTAGTTAATCAAATTTGATGGGTTATTATGGAATCCAGTACCCATACTATTTGATCTTTGTGGCATTCGTAGAGAGTGTAACTTGCAAGTAGTTTGATTGCTCTTATTCCCAGTAGTCGCTTGTGGGATCGGGGCATGTAGAAATTAGATTTGAATGAGAGTAACGAATCGAACAAGAGACCGACGCTGTACGAGTTGCGCGATGATATATATCATCGATTAAAACCTCGTTGGCTCATTCCTTGATAATTCAAAAGTTCTCGCTTGCCTGCTTTCTCTGAACTTTGACTACAACCACGTAAAGCTGTACGCAGGCAAAATCGAGGCATTGGCAGTAAAGTAACTCTTGGAACGTGCAAAACAATTACTTGTTTTGTTTGCACGTACAGCTCGACAATCGCCTCGTATTTTTTTCCCCCTTACTCCGTAGTTGTACAACAGAGTGCAAAATTTTGCTTCTTTTTTTTTTTTTTTTTTTAAATCAGCCTCAAGCGTAGTTTGCCTTACAATTGCATTTCTTACACCTGTACTTACGCGTATACGTGTGTGGCTGTCGCAAAAATCATCCCGTCACGTACAATGCCAGAGTTGAATGATGACCCATCGAGGGGAGCGGGTGATGTGATGGAGAAAAAAGGAGCGTCTCGGGCACTCGCTAAATTGCATGTTCGCGATCGATCTATCGTCTCCCCCGTGATGTATTGTACGCTGCCCGTCACTACATGTGTACTCTATACGTGTGGTGGGTCGTCGACTTTCTAATCCCGATTTTCCTTGCTTTCCTCACAGTTTGCTTTGTGATCCGAGTCTGTCACGTTACTTCCGACTCGTGCATGTCCGTAGCAGAGAAACAAAATGAACATATATACTTGCTGTTGTTTTCATGATTTTGTTTCTTTGTAGTTTTTTTTTTTTTTTTTTTTTCTAATCAACCCCGTGTGAGGTGTTGTTTAAAAGAGAAAAAAAAGCAATTGTGCAAACAAGTTGGCTTACAACGTAGAAACATAGTAGAATGTGAAATTTTACCCTCGTGGCTATTTGAACAAGTTACAAATCAGGTAGATGGCACTTGTTGGCACAAAAAAATGTCAAGACTTTTAAGAGTATAGTTGTTTGTTTGTTCATAGAAATTGTGTTGATAGTTTTTTTTTGTTTTCACAATAGTGTAGCTATTAATTAGCGCATTAGTTGGACTGACTTTTTTTTATGAAACTTGGTGGAGGCTTGTCGAGAGATTATCAAACAAGAAGTGGCGCACAGCAGAAGTTCATATTAATTAATTACATCGAATTTCACGCTGATTACATACCGTAATTTGCATCATCACAGACACCTCTGTTTTTTATTTGCTTTCAGAGGAGTTGTTATACCTCATTGTGATTCATTTAAGTGCTTTATTAAATACGTTTTCGCGCAGTTAGTTGAAATTTATGCAGCTGCCACGTAGAGAACGCATAAACCATATTACTGTCGGGGATTAATGAGGCTCGCACCTTACAGTAATTAACTTGATACTTTGCTAAAAGTTGCAAATAATATGTTTTTAATAAACTTCAAGTGACTTGGTTTTGCAATGTTTGAGCTTTCACTACTCATATTCATCAAAAATCCTAACATTAACTATAAAAAGGATACTGTAATTAAAATATCACTCAGTCTCGACTTATTATATTGATGTAGTATTTTCAAAAGTGCTAACCCATTCAGAGTCACACGAATTTTCTCACATCCAAGTTTATTTGTTCATATGGTAGTCCTAGGTGTCGGGAGATGCAAATGTGAATGCATTGTAGACGAAAAAATCACTCGGTAATCACATACCTGATACTCATAATTGGTAGTTGGTATGAAAAATTTGTGCGCCTCCTTAAATGAACGATAGTGTAAGGTTCGTTGGGCAGCGATAACAAGTGACATTTATGTTTGAACTAATTTTGGCGTGTAACTAAATTTTTTTCTTTTGAAATTGTTACGCGTTCGATGAACGAAATGTCTCTCAATTAATCATTGGCATGACGTAATCCCACGTATTCAGTCGAGCGTTATATTTTAATAATCATCAAAGTCAAAGGTGCAGAAAAGCTCTCACGAAGCCGATGGTATTTGATTTATTTCCCCGGCAACATTGAAAGGAACTAACAATTAAAACTTGAATTGTCATAGTAAAATTGCATTATTTATTATTTTTGATGAATCCCATCGCAAATGACGCGTATAAAAGGTTATTCGGGTATTGAATAATGAAACACGGCATAAGTGCATCGAATTCGCACCGGAGCTAACCCAATGATTTAATTTAACGTTCGTTGCGCGCTCGTATAACGCAAAATTATACTCACTTTTATGTATGTGCGTGTGCGTCAATGTACATCGTAATTCACACACAACGGAGTGGAGCGTGTAAAGGGAATTCGATTCGCAAAGGGTAATTCACTTTTCACGCACCTGCGGACGCTCTACTGCCACGTGGTTTTTCCGAAAATCAAACAAAATTACGACATCCCGATACTCGCGAGCGCAACATCTACCCAATCGATCGTATTATTACTTTCTGCATCGTTTTGCGATAATAAAATAAAGTAGGTTAATTTTGAAAAAACAAAAAAAAAAAAAAAAAACCCCCCGACACACGCCTGAAAAAAAAGATAAAAAAGATGCCCCTGGAAAAGTTTCTCCCGCAGCGCGCCGCACTCCCTAGCCCTCCACGGCACACAGCTTCTAAAAATACGCACTTTCCACGCGGATTTTTCTCGACCTAGGAGCACAACGATTTCCTCTGCCCTCCCCGAAAACCTTGAGACTCCCGCATCCCTACGTCCAATCGGGGTGGCGGGTCATGGAAAATTTCAACCGACACCAACTACCGAGCAGCCGTTTTTCCCCCTTGGGACCCTGTGTGGATGTACAGCTCGGTGCCGACAACCCCTCCTGCTGCCAGTGGTGCCACTGTATTCGCACACACACGCGCACACATACGTAGACGCTCAAGAGAAGAAGAAGAAGACGGAGGAGGCGGATGAGTGGCCTGGATCAATAATTTCCGAGAGATAGGCACAAACCGGCGGAGCACATGGCCCAGCTATGATGCATATGCGCTCCCGTCTCGGAAAAGGGCGTATTATGGGTGTACATGCAGTGTACATTATATAGTAAGCGCTGCGTATACGTATACCTACTAACTAATTTACTTTTCACGGAAATTTTCCATCCTCCGTCGCTCTGGTTCTTCCAAACTGCGGGGCCTTAAATTATGCGCCAGGGAGACAAACAGACAGAGAGAGAGAGAGAGAGAGAGACGAAGACAAAGATACTCGTAAGGTGCGTGCAGTGTGCAGCTTTTCCTCTTGCAACTGTGGAGGAAGTGAAGAGGAGGAGGAGGGGGGCTTTGGGCCCAATGTAGGGGCATTGTGTTGAGAAAAGCCGGCTGCTAGTGTAGAGTTTCTCGGACTCGTACTGGAAACGCGTGACCATTGGCTCGGCAACTGTTGTACGGAAAAGTGAGGCCGAGTTTCCATGTATATATATTACATGTACTTTTCGTGCTTTCACGCATAAAATATACACATATTTTTTTATTCCTGCGACTATATCCGTTACGTTGTGCCGTTGTTTGTTGTTTTACCAAACTATTTTTACAATATTTGGGTGTTTTTTTATTGGAGGGATAAAAATAAAAGTTCCTAATCGTTTGGCGAGGGGTCATTCGGATGTTTGCGAAAATAAAGAAAATTGAAGAAAATAGTGCGATGGGTAAGTCTGGCCTGTTACGAACGCATACGTGTATCGAGTTCTCGAACTGCATCGAAGCTAAGAGTTTTTATGATTACCGATGAGAACATTCTTAGCTTTTGATGAGCGAAAACGTGATATTTTTTTTTTTTTTTTTTCACTCCGAGAAGCGGCAATGGAAAATGAAATAGTAACTTTTACATTGTTTTGTTGAGAAAAAGTGTACGAAAAGGTTCCATTGACTCGCTTGAGTCATCAAAAAAAATATTGGCCGTACGGTATGAGGTATGACTCGCAGAATTTTTCACGTGCATATTATTGTACTGTACATAGACTCACATGACTTTTCCTTGGAAACACGATTTATCAATCATCGTGCCTACGTTACAAGGTGAAGTCGAAGGGCCGAGAATAAAGTAACGTATATACATCGTGCTAATGGCTCCTTGGTCGGTTGCTTCTATTCACGTGAACTTGCAACTTTACTCCTTTGAATATGATGTAACAAAAATATGTTTTATTGATCGATAGTTAATAACTATTTTTTTTTTTTTTTAAATCCAGTGTCTCGTTTGGGCATTTCAATAGATCCCTTGTTAGCCTGCAAGTAAGTAGACGTGGTTTGAGATTTCAAAAAATTCCGTTACGCCAAGCAGAACCATTTTGAATTTCGATATCTTTGACGCAGTATACGCACCTTCTGGAGGCCTCGTGGCGCCAAAACTCGTTTAGGGATTTGTTTCCTTCGAGAAACATTATACTTGGTAACATTTATTTACCTTTTTTTTTTATCAACAATTTGCGGATGAGATTGAAACTAATGGCCCCGTAAATCTGTACCAATACCTATATCATTTCCGATGAAAAGTGATATCATTCGCACGATACTTGAGGAGTGTAAAAAAGTCATTAGCGTGAAAAATGGGGAGTATATAATTTTTAATAGCCGACCACTTTGCTTTTCAGTAGTTGTAGTTTTTCGTAAGAATGTATTTCTATCTTATTTACGAAAATACCTACAACACCCGTGGGAGTGATTTTGAAAGTTGCAAAGGATAATGTCTCGTACCACCATAAAAGGCACGAGCACATAAGAGGACCGCAAGAGGCTCAGTTTGTTCGAAATTACGAAAACAATGCAAAGATTCCAACGTGTTTTCGATGTCTTCTGGTATTTCGGGAGTACGGGGGAAGGGCTTAGTCACGCGTGCAAAATACACACTCAGCGGATGCTGCATGAAAAAGTTGTGTGTTTTAAAGATTGAAATAAATTTTTTTTTTTCTTGGTTGTCCAACAGATTCAAACGTCATAGAGAAGAGGAAGAGTAGGGATGGCGAGACGGGATCAACAAAGCCCGGGGACACGGATAGATTCTCGTGGTGCTCAGAATTTCGGAAGATGCAGGAGCCCAAACTCGTGCAGGATCCGCTTTTGCTCGTCAAGCTCATTAAATTTTTCAACAGGTAACCATATAATTATAATGAGGCATGAGAAAAAAAAAATAACAATATTTCACTTGCGCCATGAAATCACGAAAAATAATTAAGCACACGCGTACATATACGTAATGGGGTTTCGCTTGTTAAAGTTTTAATTAATGTTTCGCGTGAAAATAATTAATTCTGATTAAAATGCATAAATAATGGCCACTGGCTTTTCGAAACGAAATATATAAATTCCTGGTTTGTTCAATTGTCGCGACCGTAGCTGCATAATTAATTAATACCGGCACAGCTGCGCGTCGTTACGCCATTCGGGTGAGTATAATTGTTGAAAAGAAACAAAAGTCTGGAGGATTAAAAGAAAAATGGTTCAAAACGAAATTCATGAAAAAAAAAAAAAAAAAGAAATTCTCTTCTCTGTTTTTAATCGTAGAAACGTGAGCTCGAACGTCAACGATTGCCTGCACAAAAAGCCAAACTTGGCGGCGAAATCAAGGGACCTCGTTAAAGAGACGCTGCCGCTGTTCCTGTGCCATTACCGCTGCGGGCCAAAGATTCAGGTATAAATATTATTAAAAATCCAGGACGAGGGTGACAATCATACACTCTCACAAACACCAAAATGATTTTAACACGCCCATTCACACACGCCGTATACTATAACGAAGGGGGTGGCATCACCCATTACGTTGCAGGGACGCACGCGTGCAGTCTACCTCGAACAAATGTCGGACTTGCTGGCCATGTACATAGACCTGGAACTTTTGGCGTCAAAGAACGACTCGGCACCGCAGTTTGGCGAAATTTCGTCGAGGATCGTTACCTACCTCTGCATCTACCTCGGTTAGTATGCACACGTATACGCACACACACACACACTCGTTCGGTTGGTTCTCGGTTGCGAGATTCAATTCCTCTTTACTCGGGGGCTACGCGGTCAAAGGGCGAAATTTGTGTACACCGCGACACCTTCTAATCAAACTTTCTGGTCGAGTAAGGCTTCTACACTCGCCTTTGGCCATTGATTCTGCACGTGCACCACGTGATATGTCCCTCTAATTGCTAAACGAGCCGACGGCTGCATGAAATTGGATCGTCGGTGCGAAATTCAATAAGCTTCTTTTCGCTCTAAAACGTTGGTTTGAAAAAAAAAAAAAAAAAAAAAAAATTTACCAAAGTAAATTCTTTTCCTCACTGGAGCAGTGCCGTCTTACGTGATGTACTTTATCCGTAAGTAGAGAGGGGCTCAAGTTGTAGCCGCTATAATACTGGACCAGCCTGTATACCTTAAAAAAAAAAAATCCCTCGTAAAAGGATGACATGACCCGATTCGATTTTTCAGACAACTCGGAGGAACACTTGCTCGAGACCATAATAAAGGTCCAATTGGTCAGCGAAAAGTACTCCCAAGTTCTGGACCCCGTGATCTCGTAAGTCAAACGTCAAATTGTTCACATCCCCTCTTCGCAAATTTCCCGCACGCACGAACAAAAGCTATTAAACACTCGGGGTGCCGATGGCGCGTTGCTCCCAGGAAAGTCCTAAGGCTCGCGCGGGAGCACCCGGAGACGGGGTCGGAGTTCGCGCGCCAACTGCTCGTCTACCGGCTGTGGAGGCGGGTCCTCGGGGATGCGGGAGCCAAGAAGCGGGTGAACACAACCGCGTTCGCAGCCCTGCGTGGCTGCCGGGGCTCGAGGCCCGATAACTGGGACACGTACTTGCGGGAGCAGGTCCTGCCGAGGCCGAGGGGCACCGAGGAGCTGGGGGAGCCGGCCAAGTTCTGCCTCTGCCAGCAGTTCGACCTGCGCCAGGCGTGCACGCGGTTCCTCAGGTACTGCCGGCTGGGCCGGGGCAGCGACGCCGACGAGGCCGAGCTCCTCAAAGAGCTGAGGACGGGGCAGGACGGGCCGACCATCACGACCAGTCGGCTGCTCGGCTTTGGCGACGAGGCCGATGACCAGCACAGGGATGTCGCGGAGAGAGATCATAGGGTAAGCCCTTTTTTTCTCACTTTTTCATTTATCCGTGGACAGGATTATTTGGATACCGAATCACTCATCGGTATAGTTCGCTGTGCGAGTAATCCTCTCCATTGGCATTTTAAAAGCTCGTGCTTTAGATTATTTATTTATTTTATTTTTTTTTTTTTAATATCAACGCGATTGGTATCCTCTTACTAATGTAGACAGCAATATTGGGTGCACAGGGAAGAATAGGAAAACAAAATTCATTAGGTCCGTCAGGGGCTCGATCGTGGTAGCGCAAGTTTAGTGAAAATCAACGAGAGAATTTAAGCCGTTAAGTATAAGGCCTTACGCTGTAGTCAACTAAACAACCTACCAATGAAACTGTATTTAACTTGCCATATATTTCACTGAAAAATTACTTGATTTGGTTCTCGGTTGATTCGAAATTTTACTGATTATTCAGCAAAAGTTCGAATATTTTCATTTAGTAAACGCCTTTTAATTCGAATGATGAATTTGCTTGTTAAAGTTGTTTTTGTACCGCAGTCTTAATCGAAAATGTAAGCACAGAAAAATACAGCGCTTGACGAGTGCTCGTGTTGCTACATCAAAATTTCATAGTTTTGTTGAATTGAAAAATAACTTGGTGAATAATATTAGAAAATCAAACACACTGAAACAGGGATAAAGTAAGATTTTCTCGTTGATTTTTACGACGGTATACATGGGTGTTGAACGTAACCATTGTACCGTAAAGCGACGTCACTCCAAACTTTGTCAAACTCTGTCCTCGTCAATGAAAAATGTGGGGGAAAAAAAAATACGGGCTTTCCGACAATCCACACGACCGACCTAATGGAAATAAAAAAAAACCTTGGTTGTTGTATTCTTCCCTATCGTGTACCGTTAACGAAACCCAGGACGAAATCCAAAATGTTTTTTAATTGACAAAAGCAAATTTTCTTCTTTCCCCGTTATCCTGGCAACAGCTGAAAAGTACGCTTACCCCCGAACCGAGTAAAAATTTAGAGTCTGTAGATCTTAAACACTTTTCTAAAACCAGCGAAACAATAAATCTCGCGGATATGCAAAACTCATTGAAAGACGTCGCATACATTCCCCTTGTAAATTCCAAAACGAACGGCCGTTGCGGCAGTAAGAGTAACGGTAGCAGCAAAAACGCGGGTGACAAGCAGCGCACGAAGAGCCTCGAGGACGTGGTCCTGATCGATTTGACGGACGACGGGGTGACGAAGATCATAAAACGGCCAAAGGCGAGCCGACAGCCGCGGGAGAGGATGCCCTGGCTCGAGGCGCTCAGCCGCGTCAACGTGAAGATGCGGGAGGCCGCGCTGAAGAAGGAACGCGAGGCCGTGGCCGCGGCGATCAAGCTCGAGAAGCAGAGGTTCGCCGAGACCCTGAGGAGCTCCAAATCCCTCGAGTGCGACAGCGACTCGGACCTCGAGTCCAACGTATCCACCAGCTCCGTGGAGGACTGCGCGGAAAACCTCCGGCCCGACCACCGCGAGAACAGCGAAGAAACGCCACCTCAGATTCAGAGGCTACACAATGAAGCCAGTGCCTTGCGCAACGAGGACGAGACACTGTCTTTGGTGGCCGCGAGCACCAAGAGCTCCTCACCCGACACCGACACCGTCAAACCAAATACAAATATCATTAACGCCGTTAGCAGTACCAGTAGTAGTAATAATAATCGCAACGATGATAGTAGTAGTAGTAGTAGTAGTAGTAGTAAAACGGTATCGAGGAGGAGGAGGAGGACGAGCAGTAACGATAGTAGTAGTAGTAAGTTAACAAAAGACGCGCCCGTCAATTCCAATGAAACAAAGACTGATTATAATTATTATCACCCGAGCGAACAGAAAGTACAACAGGAAGATGGGCTGGCGATGGCCAAGAGTAGTAGCCATCGCAGCCGCCACCTATCGAGTAATAATAACCACAACAGTTACAATGAAAGTCGAAGTAGCGCGCGAGACAAGTTAAAAGCCAGGGAAAAGTTGGCCAATGGCGTGAATACCGAGCCCCCGCTGGCCAATGGTATCGGTAGTGTGGGTAACGAGACGGAAAAGGAGCACCACCAGGACGCGGGTGGCAACGAGCTGGACGAGCTCGATGGCCTGACGCTACTGGCCACCCTGTCGGCGCGGATGTTCACCGGAAAGCGCGAGAAGCTCAAAGTCAAGCCGTACTCCAGCCTCGCCCAGCCAAGGGCCGACGAAGACACCGAGCAGGCAGCCAGCAACGAGTGCGTTCCACCTTTGGAGGGCAAACCCGAGGTCCTCGAGCCCCTCCCGTCCTACATCCCCGAGGACCCGGCGCAAACCAACCTCGACTGCAACCCCGAGGGCGCGAGCGCCATACTCAACGGCGAGACGGTCATGCTCCTGCAGACGGCGCCCAACAGCAACTACTTCATCATCAACAAGGCCGGGGACCCCGGCAGCAAGCTCATACCGACCGAGCAGTTGTCGAGCATCAAGCACGAGCTCGACGTTAAGCCGGACCCCGACGCCCTCGATCTCAAGCTATCGATCCTCGATGAGGCCCCAAAGTCGGTCCTCCACTATGCCCCGGCCGCCTACCCGGCCATCATCCACCACTCGTCGGCCGCGTGCACCTGCGCCAACTGCGCCTACTACGGGCCCCCGCCGGTCTACTACGCGCCGGCCCCTTCTCAGCCGCCAGTACAAACGAGCCCAGCCGTCCAGGAGCAAAAGAGGAGCGCCGGCAGGAAGACCGACTCGGAGCAGCCGGAGATCGGTAGGAGCGAGGCGCCGACCGGCAGGTTCCAGAGCTTCGACAGCCAACTGCCCCTGAAGAAGAGACTGCGCGTCTCGATGGACTTTAATTGCGCCCCGGTTGACCACCCGGTTGGTCCTATGATGTCCATAGCGGACGTCGCCTCGGATATCGGGGTGCCCCAGGACATCGGGGCCATGGTCGAGGTCAGCTCGGAAGAACAGCAGCAACAACAACGGCCCAAGAGTAGAGCCACCCGCAAGCAGGCGGACGGTAAGGGCTGCTCGCCCAGGAAGATCGGTAAGACCGGCAAGAGGAGTGGCAAGCTTGTAGCTGACACCACCACCACCGTGACCGGGAAACGGGCCAAGCGGACCTCGAAGCGGGCCCTGCCGGTCGTCAATTACGCCCATCCCGAGGTCGATCCCGAGTGGAATCCGTCCGGCAAGCGATGCAGGAGGAAGAAGACCGGCCGATGATGGGGCCTTCCCACGAGCTCCTTGATGGTGCTGTCGTGTGCGTTGACTTGGTCCATCTCCGTGCGTTTGACTTGCGCTTCGCCATATTGTAAATATACAGTCCCCACCGTTTGAAGATGCGTCCAAGACCGCTGCCATGAAGATCAAACGAAGACACGTGTTTTGCCTCGTCGCACTAATTACTTTTGTTTTGCTGTAGTTACCTTTATTTATAAGTATATTATATTATACCTGTATACATTATGAATTATACATACTCGCGCGGTGGTCGATTAACCCGATGGTTTTCGTTGCCACAGAGTACCTTACGTACACCACGTCTCGTTCCGAAGTTCATATACCGTTGCTATTAGCAATATTATATACTTTTTGCAAGATTTAAGCTTATTTACTTACGCGTATAGGCATATATACAGTTAGGATGTTGGAGCGTGTATATATATATATATATATATATATAGGGTCGAGTTTTTTTTTTTTTTCTCTCTGTCTCTCCCCCACTCGCGTCGAGACGACATCTCTCGCGACTCGGAAGATTATATGTTTTGTACAATGAAACAAGATATGGGACGGTAAGCCGCCTTATCGAAACGATCTCCGTTCACTGGAAAGATCTGTATAAGCCCGACCAAGTAATTTGCAAGGTGAGATTCATTTTCAACTTGGATATTTTTTTTTTTTTTTTTTTTTTTGCTCGTTGTTCTGCGTCTTTGCCTACAGTTGTCATGGTGACCAGAACAAATTCATCGTGCTATACATATACGATGGGAAATTCACGGTTTTAACTCGTTGTTTTTTTCTTTTTCTTCGGCAGCCACCACATCAAACGCACTTTGCGAGGAATGCCATCGAGGTAATTTTGAAGAATTATTTTGGCTTTGATGTCATTTGAAAATATAGTAAAGAAGGTTTTTTCTTGTGCTTTTCCAATAGGGAGTAGCGTAAGGGAACGAGTGGAAACTGCTAGCTACGGCTTGAAATCACTTGAAAGTCCTTCAGCCTTTCGTGCCTGCGCTGAAATCGGACGCGGGAACCTCAATGCACTCCAGCAGTTTTGCGTTTCTAGTGAGTATACACGAAAAAAATAATCATCATTTTTTTTTACAACAGTAATCATGGAAATTTAAAAAAAAGAAAAAAATCATCTTCATTAGGTGGACAAACAGTTGCGAACTTGCAAGACCGGTACACGTAGCAAAACATCACTGTGCGAGAAATAGAAGGGGGAAAAATCAACCTGCCAATTTAATAGTTGTATGAAAGTTGATCAAATCAAATTTGCCAAATAGAAAATATGAGCTGACTTTGCAGTTTGCTCGTAACAGTTTATGTCTGCGCGTGTTGAATGCAAAAAGAGTGGACGCCAAAAGGGGAGGTGGGGGTGGGGGGGATGGACAAATAAAGGAGAAACCAAAATACAAAATTGAATTATAATAACAACAATTATATTAATTATTACCATTTGTAACAAAAGAAAAATAATAATAATGTTGTATTGAAACATACAAATTTCGTGGAAACAAAGTAATGAAGAGGGTTACGTTGGGGCGATTTTAGAGATTTAAGTTAGGGATAGGAAAAAAAATATAAATAAATTATGATAACTAGTCAACATTAAGGATTATGCTAGGCGAAGCAATGATCCAAGTGTTCCACGGTCGCGACAATTTTTTTACTTTTACCTAAATTACAAGTAAGCGATAATAGGAAAATCGATAAATTGAAAAACAATGTAAAGATACTCGGGTCGAATCGAAACAAAATAGGAAAAGTGAATGCTCCGACGGATTTAAGTATAACTTTTGACACCGCATGCTCTCCTCTGTTTCACGAAATTCTTGATTACTCACGTGGAGTGCCAAATGTTTGTTGTTACCTAATCGTGAATGAAAGATCCGAATAGTTTGTCAGTGACAAAATATGCTTTTGCGATCAAATGATTGTCGAGTGCAGTTGTCATTATACCTACAAAATAATGTATTATTGTTTTTTAAAGAAACTAAAAAGCTAATTTCTGTAACAAGCATATTTTCACGTACCTACCAAAATAATTATTTCAATGTACGACTAGTGCCAACTGGTAGACAGATGATGGTCGAGAGAAAAACGCAAAACGTAAAGCCATACAACTCATGTGATAATTAATTTGATGAGATGTCTTCTTCCCTAATTTTGACCCTTCCAACTAAAAAAAAAAAAAATCTATTCAAGTTTGAATGACAGAGACAATGAAGTACACATCAATCTTAACTATACTGTAATCATAAAAATACAAAGAAAAAAGGCTGAATGGAAAAAAAAAATAACAATATCCGTTGTTTTCTTGTAAGAGATATAACAGGCTAGAAATGATAGATGATATTGAATAAAACAAAAAAAATGACAAGTTGCTATATTATGTTTGATATATGTAATGCGTTATCGTAACTCATTATTTGCGATTTCAATGGTTACCTTGGAATTATGTCCAATACTGTACTTCCAAACGATCCTTAGCCTGTGATTCTCTGATTCCATGTATTTTTATTTTTATTTTAACTAGAATGTAACCGATATTTTACGAAATAATCCTAATTCACTACGCATGTCCGATAGTTTGAACAGTCGAATCGCCAAATAGTTAATGCATCAAAGAAAATGATGGACCTCACAAGTTTGGTAATAGAAGTCATTTTGTATAAAGTAATGAATCAATCGCAAAAATAACGTAATAATTACGAAAGAACGGAAGTAACGCTTGTTACCGTGATTTATTTGTCCAAAGTCTTATGTAAGCAATAAAAGTAGAAAAAATAGAGTCCAACCATTGTTGGACCATAAGTTTACATGAAGACTGTTGTACTTAAATTAAAAACAAATGTTACCATCTCTTCATCAGTAATGTAAAAAAAATGGAAAGTATAATGTTACTCGATTGTACCAATGTACACTTGCACGATCATTGCATTCCACTAGATTGGAAGAAAAAAAAAAATTTGTTTTGAGGCTCCGTAGACGTGACGTTTTTCCTAAGCCGTTAATGGATGTACAAAAAATAGCGGTTTCGACGAGACTTGAGAATCAAATATGAGGGAAAAAAAAATATACGTATGTTTAGTGGCATCGTCGACGCCGAGTTCATATTGATTGTACAAATGGATGAAGAGCAAAAAATAAAAAGCGAAAGCGATGCGTTTACGTTTGTAAAACTATATAATGACGAGTTAACGATAAAATAGAATTAAATGTTAAGAAGAAAAAATACATCGGATGCCTATGAGATGCTCTGTCTTTGGGACGGAGATTACGATAAAGTCGTATTGCGAGCCTCGAAAAGGCCTTTTTCCTTCTATACAAATTATAACAAAATCAAATAATGAACAAAAAATTAAATCAAAAGACTTGAAAAGAAATGAAACGCTTAGCGTACACATATACTTACGTAACGTAAACACTTTTTTTTTTTTTTTTTTTTATAGATTACACTTATTTCCACTAAGCTCGCAGTTTGTGGCCTTTTCGAATGATATAATTTGTGTACGTGACATCATATAATTATTGTTATCAAAGTGTGAAGTTGAAGCATTTGATTTTATTCAATCAATAAATGACGTGTTACTAATGATAAATTTTTAGGCTATTTCGAAGCATCAGCACTTGTACACACGTGTATTCACATACTTCCTCTGTGCTTATAGCGCACAGAGGCGTCCGATAACCAATGATTTTTTTGTTTTTGTTTATTTTGCACAGCTTTTTTGTGTACGCGTACCTACACAACTTGACGCCCAAAAGTATAAAGGGACGATGGTGATAATTATTTGCGAGACAAAGTCTATAATGTATTTGCCGTCGATTGTATTATTAGGAGATTAAGTATATATCGAGATGCTCTTTATCGATTACTTTAACATTTTGTAAATACATAAACAGATGAAAAAAAAAAAAAAAAGATAATATGGGAAAACAAACATGGAAAACGTACACCCTACGGCCGTTATTTTTATAGAGAAAGAAAAAAAAAAAAAATACAAAAATACAAAAAAATTCAAGGGAGGAAGAGAAGACTATAGACAGAGTGCGAATAAAGTATTTAATTATGGTGTATATTAATACATGTATATACTCATACATATATGTATAATGTACATTTTATAAAAAGCGATCGGTGTGTGATCGAAGTAAACAATAAACTCAAAGCCTGTTCGAATGAACAATAAGCAAATTTTTATTTTACCTCTGATCTCATGAACCCTTTCCCTTGGAACCAAAATTTTTTTTTACAACATGTTTACGTTTTGAAATTTACCAAATAATATTATTTTATATTTATTTATTTGCCAAAAATACAGTCGTTATATAGAACACAAAATGTTTTTTTGTTAATTAATAGCTAATCTCATACACAAGATTTGATGTTTTGATTTTGTCGAGTGTGATGTTGCATAGATCTTACAGGAAAAAGATAATGGGAAGTGGAAATTCGTGTAATTGAATAAAATAAACAGATTTTTTTAATTTTATTTAATTTTAATAAAATGATTTTTTTTTTTTTTTTATCAACTCTAAGATAACACATTACGGTATGGATAATATCATATTTAAAGTAAATAAAAGAACTACCTATCGTAAGAATACTTCACGTCTAAGTAATTAACAATGTTTACAATCGAAGTTGGGGATGACACAAAATATAGGCAACACTACAATCAACTCAGAGAATCATTAATGACATTAATGAGAAAAATATTACAAGTACCTAATGGCGATGAACCAAGGGTGAAAAGACATCGTAAAAATAGTCATAACCGTAACATCGGTTCAACAAAAGATCTCTAAAATCTTTTTTGTCGCTTTATAACTTATAATCCTTTCGAGTGAGGGATCGTGTTTCTACATAAAAAAAAAAAAAACACTAACAGTAATAATACGACAACTTCTGACGTTTGTAAATTATACTTACAATAAAAATAAAAAGCTAGTGTTGTAACGTGTTTCGCATCTATCGCTAAAAATATACATTAAGATTAATTGTATAGGTTTTTATTGTGTATATGTATGATGCAAGTTTTTTTTTCTATACTTTATAATTAACGAAGTGAAAAAACAAAAAAGTAAACAACAGTGAGAAACATGTGGCACAATGGTTGCACAATCTTTTTACATCCATTTCATCATTTCTCTTGTTTCTTTTTTAATTATTACTAATGACAACTGTACAAACATTTTTCGCCAATGTTTTGCAAACGTCAACGATTGTAAAATAATTATTCTATAAAACTGTAACTGTGATAAGAATAATAATAATTGTTATTATTAAATATTTATAGTAAGTATACGTGCGTGACACAACTATAACTACTGATCGTTGTGTGAAGGAGAAAATAGGAAAAGTTCGAAGGCTGGCAAACAACCGATTTTTCCAAGGAATAATCATAAATGGAAAATGCATACATAACGCGCATATCCACATATATTTGAGGACCTGCCAAGAGCGACGTTTCCCTCACTTCTCTCGTGCACGAAGGTAAATATTTTACAAAAATATCGAATCTTACAGGTATTACATATTATGCACTCCTTTTTTCATCAAAATTGCCTGCTAGTGGTTATCTTCTGAGATCACACGGACACTATGCAATGACTTACAATTATGGTTGTCCCAAAAAAAAGGGCACTTACATGTTTGCACGAGAATCGTAAATAATTTATTAACGTTTAATCTTACATGCGATTACAAAATATTTGAGATACTGAAATACTGATGTCACACGAGCCGCATCAGTTTCACGATTTCACTAGAATAATTTCAAGTGTCAACGAAATATGTTTTTTCAACACTTTTAAAATACAATTACAAAATACAAAATACAAATGTAACTGAATTGGCCGTGGATAATATATTTCAAATTAACAATCACTTAAAGCTCAGTGATATTACAATCTAAAATGTTTATTACATGTCATTTAAGAGTTTTACGTATAATAAGTTAGATTATTTTTATTATCAATATCGTCATTAGAGTTATTGTATAATATATTTGTTAACTATTATTTATGCTACGCAATAATATTTTTAAACAATATAATTGGAATGTTTCAGGTGTTTCCAAACAATTTTGGAAACATTGTGTGCATCGAAATGAATCTATTTGTAGAAAAGTGGCGTAGTTTCGCTGTAAAAGTAAGAAAGTATCAAATTAATTTTCGACATATAAATATTCATTCACTCTATAAGAGTGGGCTTTTACTCTGTTAGGAGTAACTCCTTATACTTTTACAGCCAACAGTTTAACGATTGTAATGGAAAGTATGTGGTAGTAACTGCTTGAAGTGTGCGAGAAACTAAGTAATTTACAAAAAAAATCATCAACTCAAAAAAAAGTAATGAAGTAAATGAACTTTTTTTTTATAAATAATAAACAACGTACACTCCGTAAAGTAATAATACTATGATCCTTAGATGTGTTGGTAAACGATAAAATCAAAAAAATCCGTTTGCATCTGCATGAAAATCTAGGGAACAAATATACAATGAATCGGCCTTTTTTTAAAGGTTTTTAAGGCCTTTTATCAAATTTGATGACGAGTCAGTATAAGATGAAAAAAAATTAACTTTCCCAAATTTAGAGATGAAAACGTTTTTAGTTACTTCTAACATGGTTTTTTTTTATGTAAAACCCTTTTTTTATTTATTTTCCTCAAACAACAGAAATACGTATATCCATGTCGCTTGGGAGAAAAAAATAAAAAAATACTTTTACAACATCCAGAGATTCTGAAGATTCTCAAGTGATGTACACGTATTATTCGCTCAACGCTTGGACTGTATGTATTATACACTTTTTTCCAGCTTTTTTTTCTGGTAAGCGTTAACCAGCTCCGATCGAGGGACATCTCAAATTGGTAAAATACGACTCCTCACTTGGCTTTTAAATATACCTACTTGCGAAAAACAAAACGAAAACAAGTGCAATTGACCACCCGACGAGGAATCTCCTTCCTCCTCGAGCCCAAGTTCTAAAATTATCATCCATTTATAAATATTACAATATATATATGTGTACAAGAGACACCGCTGCTAATAACTCACAGGAATAACGGAAGACACTTTACGAAAACCAACAACTATACCGCTTATCCCGTGACAGGTGTGTCATCGCACCATCCGCACGATAATCCTGCCTCTACAGTTTTTTTTATTTTTCGCTCAGCTATTTGGCAGACGAGCGTCGCGCACTTCAAAGTCACCAGTATGTAATAGCGCACTTTTTACGCGCGCGTTTTCCATTCGAGTAGGCGCACACCAAACATCGTGCATTCGGTTGTTTTTTTCTCTCTTCGCACACACACACACACACACACACTCTCTCTTGCGTTCGGTGTACCTCTAATTAGCGCGGCCCCTGCACGCTGAGAAGCGAGCATTCATCATCCCCTGCATTTCCCTTATTCTCCCGCGACACGTGCAGGATTCACGAATCCACGGCGCGCCACTTATTCCGTGGTATATTTATGCACTGACGGATCACAATGTACAAGCGCGCATCCATACACCTATACACACGAGTTACGGAAGTACGAAAAACGAGGGAGCATATTTTTTCGTTTTCCCTCCGAGCGAACGCGCGAGAAATCCTCCAACTGCTCGTCCACGGCATGCACCGAGATTGTTTCCACCGCGAGGGCGATCCATCAGCAGCGTCGGGACGGAATAATAAGACGAGAGGGGGGGGAAAAAAAACAACAAGTAAATTGGACCCCACCGTCCCTTTTTCTAATCATCCCCTTTTGGAACGACGGGGGGGGGGGTTGACATCAAGTGTATATCTCGATCACGTGTACAAGTAAATGTGTATATATTATGTGGGGGCTCGGATTTACCCCGGCGCTTAACAAGCCGGTGTGTCCTCACAGGTGGGTAATGATGATGTCATCGTCGATGTCGTCCTTCTCGTCGTCCGTCTCCTCGGGCTGGTTGGCCTCCGCTTGGGCGGCCTTCGGGTCCTCGGCCAAGGCCTTGCGGCGCTTTTGCTTGCGCCTGTGGAGCATCTCGACGATCACGTAGCCTATGGTCCCGATCAGCAGGACGTTCAGCATGACGTAGAGCTTCATGCGCGCGCACAGGTGGGTGCTGTACGCGTAAGCGACGACGAAGCCCGCCGACTCCCACAGACGGTAGTTCGAGAAGGCGGCCTCCTTGTTGCGACGGAACAGCGTCCCGTACAAACCTGGGTCGAACATCAAGGACAATCGTGTTAATTTCTTTTTTTTTTTTTTTTTTTTTTTTTTTTTTTTTTTCTTCGCAATGTTGGATTAGTTGCTATGGAATACCATATGGACACGGGTGTGCTCTTTCGAACGATTCTTGTCTATAAAGCATCCCACTAACTTGTAACCATATATTATATACTCTGTGCACTGCAAACTACTTCATGGTACCCTCGATTGTTTAAAAATGTAAAAATAATGTTGTCCCCCGGTCCACCAGCTGGATGGGGCGGTTGACACCCAAAATTGGGGGGATAAACCGCGACAAGCGCCACATATGTAGACGCGTTAGCATACGGGGCACGTGCGAACGATGTGGGCCGCGCCAGGGCGTGAAAATTAATCGATCAGCTGTCCTGTATACCCCGAAAACGCGTCATAAATAGTTCTAATGCCGTGCACCCCCATACTCTCTCTATAATGTTTATGTATCCATATACATATGCTCTCCAAACAAGTGATACGGTGATACCCATATACGAGCGTTACGTAAACGCGTTAACGCACAAAACGTCCGTGTGTATCGGTAGCACGTGTCGCTGGGTTTTACTTATCGCGAGCGCTAACCCTCGTCATGCATATGTATATATTATAGCGAACAACCAGTCGCGAGACATTAAACATGTACACAAACGAGAGAAACCGGCTCCTCTCAAACACGCACCTATACGACATATACCTATACACGCCTCTCGTTTATACAGTTATGTTTCTCGGGACTGCGGAATGCCAGAGGAATTGCCGTCGCGTTGAATGCACACGCGTATAATAATGTATATATTATGTCACGCCCCAAAGTGCCACTAGTATTTCCGAGAGAAGGGAGACGTTTTCCATCATCAATGAGAAGGGAAGGAAACAAAAAGGAGTTTGGTCCTTTAATTCCATTTTTCCACCCCACGCGGGAAATAATTTAAAAAACGCGCGAGTCCGAGTCATATCTGCGTGGGGCGTATAAGGGGCTTACATTTCATACGTCCTTTTTGGTACGCGTGTACTACGTGTATATGTATATATACATCGCGACGATGAATATTCACTGGGGGTGCATACTATAAACAGGTATTCAAGGGGAGGCTGTGATTTCACGTGAAACGGAGGACAAAACAAAAGAGAACACCGCGAGGTTTTAACGTTATATTGCAAAAATTCTGCTCCAACGGTGAATGAATTAAATGAAGGGACGCGTCCTTTCAATGTTCAAGTGGAAAGCATTTATTTGTCAACTGGCACGTTGGCACACTGGAAGGGGAAAATATTCGTGTGCAGGTGAAAAAACGAACAGAGCTCATAATTATACGCGAATTCAGGTGTACACCCGAGCTATCTCAGTTTTTCGTTAACGGTCGCTAAAGCAATTACTTACTTTTATATATAATTTCAAACACGGCAAAGACCCTTTTTCCACTTGTCACTTTTGTTGTTGTGATTCCTTATAGTTCAACAAAATCCAAAGCTCGAGCTCGGCCTTTTGATTGCCGGTGCGTGTAAAACGGCGCAAGTAGCAATTAAATTTCCACGTCAACTAACGTACAAAGCCCTCACGGCAAACACAAACTGAGGTAACGTAGAAAAAAAAAAAAAAAGTCTTTGACAACGAAATGAAACATCCAATGATAGAGCCCATGTATTTTGAACGCGAAAGAAACAAAAGGTGACGTTTAGGAGCTTGCAAGTCAATAATTTACAGTATCTCCCTTAGCATCAGCAAACGAATCCAACTGGGTAGGAAAAAAAAAACGCGTGGAAAGAGTATACCGCGTCTGTGCCACGTGTACATCTGCACCATCCCTTTAAAAAAATAAGGAGCAAACCGTAATGCTGCAATGCTTTACACACAAAGGAAAAAAAAAAGAAAAAAAAGAGTAATTAAAGACTGGCTGTAAATCGTCTTAGCTAGTTATGTATTTTACAAAGTCATGCGTTTGAAAAAAAAAGAAAACTCGTTAAACACAACCGAGCATAAATATATGAACTTTAGCCCAACGCGTGTGGCATTGACGAGTAGATAACCAGGTGCATAATATACATTGGCAACTTTCTAAAACAGCATACACCCACGTCGCTCCAATTAACTCTTTCTCCCTCTGCACTCTATACGGCTATACCTGTACAATGTATGATAATGGGTGTACACCTCGATATGCACATATATACTCAAACTGACAATGAAACTCTCCATTTTATCTTATATTCTTTTTCCTTCATCACATTTCTTTTCTCCCCACACTCCTGCCACGGCAGCACAATCAAGGCTCGTCCTTTTTTGCAAGGATGGATTTTCCGCGAAAAGTAAAAGAGGATTCTTTTGTAGGGGCCCTCGTGCTCTTGGGCATTTTCTCGAAGCCTTGATTTCTCCAGAAAAAGCTGTTGTAAAGGGAGCTCCTTTGCAGTCCCTTGATGAGGGGGAACTGTGCTCCCGGTTAACGAGGAAAAGCGGAAGGGCGAAATCGGGTTGTCGGCTCTGATGGAAACCTTCGCAGATGCTCATGTCTATGTATGTATGTATACATGATGTATGTATGACGGGCGAGGAATCGAAGGGAGGATACTTAATTGTGAACGGATTGCCGCTCGATCGAGCAGCTTCAATCTGTTCCAGAGTGCGAGATGTGGATGGGTGTACGGTATACGTTTGTTGGTTGAACGTGGAAATTTAGTTGGGCGTTTATTTGGCCAATAAGTTTACTGCGAAATTTGTGGCGATTTTTACATTACAAGAATAATATTTGTCTGATAACTTTTATCCTGATGGGAATTACCCGAGTTACTTACGACGCAAATTACCGCAAACTTTTTTAACAAAGAGTCCTTTATCTACGTTTTTACGAGCCCCGAGGTTCTTTGCTCCGCGCACAGCACCATCATACATACCTTTGACCGTCGGTAGTCGAGAAAATAAGGGGGGGAACATCTTCTTTGTAAAGTAATTTTATAAAAGTGTTTACGGCGCAAGAGGTATACGTTACAGCCACGAAAAGCTTGCGTCACCGTAAAAGTTGACAGTTGATCCACGTGAACGGAAAATATATTGCGTTTCCGAAAGAGCACAGCAGATCTGACTTTTCAACGCCTTATCCACGTTCGGCAAGAGGATCCGGCTTCGCCCTGAAAACGCCCGATCGGCCCCAGGTAAAATAAGCGCCACCCGATCTATATACTTTACCGATCAAACGAAACCGCGGCGCCGGAAAAAAAGAAAAAAAAAATAAGTCAAAGATCCGGTTGTCCCGGGAAAACAGGTCTCTTCTCCGAGCCGCGAAAAAAGCAGAGGCGCCTACCGGCGACACGTCAGCAAAGTATGCCGACCTCGATCGGTCTGCTCTACACCACCTATGCTCGTCCGATCGGCGACGTTTTGCATTCCTGAGACTCGCGCGGCTATCCTGAATGGGTTCGCCTATCGCGTCCACCCGTTTTCCTTTCCCTCGGCGCTCACGTGAATGACGACGACGCAAGTGCCCGCTTCATTAACATATATACATTATACATACACGTATGCGCGCGCGTCAGATCAAAATAGCACCAGGGGATCATTACGCGCCCATTTATACTCTCTGCCGACTATCTTTTTCTTTTTTCCTTTTTTTTCTTTTTATTTTTAGCTTGGGAAAAAAAAAAAAAAAAAAAAAAAAGAGAAAAAGACCGATGGGAATATTATATAGAGTTTCACACGCGTTCGAAGATCGAGGTCGGTATCGACGCGCCCGAGCACACATGCGATGCAAATAATTATATGGCTCACTGCCATGCAGCTATACACACCTCGTTTATTACCATTATTATCGCGAGTGACTAGCACCCGCGCCTTAGCGAGGAAAATTTCCCGACGCTGATGTCCGACGTCACGCCCGTGTGCAATCTTGATCCTCTCGCTCTTTGTTTTATCCCCCCCGCGACTTTCTATCTCGTTGATTATATATACGCAAATGCACGGCCGTACTTTTAATCCGATTTTTTTCCCAATCGGTTACGAAGGACACATTTACACGGATGAAAGTTTCAATATATGCTCAATTGAAAATTGACGAATCATCCCCATCTCGAGGCAATGGAGGAATGCGACTTTGGTTGTACAATATTGGATTGAATGTTTGTCCATGTCTCGGGAATCGTACATTGTTTGGCATGCAACTTCCGGCAAAGCGCAGCCATGCACCGGTAAACGGTAGAGTTAAAAAGAGAGAGGGAGAGCCGGGCACTTACCATTGACCTGGGTCTGCCAGACCGCGTCGCCGACCCCCCAAAGGCCGGACACCGTGTAAAAGACGTAAGACTTGTCGGGGTGTGGCCTCCAGACGAGCAGCACGCCGATGAGGGCCGCGTGGACAACGGCCCCGAGGGCCATGAGTGGCTGCCTCCCGACGTACTTCATCACCGAGCCGAAGAGGAGGGAGCACCCGGCGTTGACCACACCGAAGCAGATCATCACGTAGCCGACCCTGTGCACCCCCAGGGCACACGAGATGTACGCCTGCAACAACAACGGACGATTCGTTATAATTTTACATCCCTGCGCGGCCGCTCATTGTTTGCTCGATAATAAACCCCTCCCTGGGTGAACTTGGAGCTGCTACGCCAGGGTATGTACATTGCGCCAAAGAGATCTCTGCGTCCACAGGGCTAATTGGTAAGGATAAGGAAACGGTAGTGCCGGGGAAAGGTACACACGTAGTACCTATACATGTACCTACAGGGTATATTTGTGCGGTTCGATGTTTCGTGTGCATCCCCTTCGTTTCAAAGTCGTGTATGAGCAAGTCGGGATGGCATAGGTAAACACCGGCTCTGTTTAATTTTCCGGGACGCGGAGTACCGGTACAAGCGTGTACCATTTGTGCACGTGTTTTTTTTTTTTTTTTTTATTCCGATTTTCCGTGGTAATGGCCCATGGCCCTGCTGGAGGAGGTAAACATTCGCTGGGGCTCCGTATATCGTTGCACCGTACAGACGACGAACAAGTGTTTGCTCGCACATGATATACCTTAATCACACATGTACATAATCAGTCGTTACAAATGTTTCAGCTTGACTGCATACAGGACAAGGGTGGTAAAGACGTGTCCTCGTTAATCGTAATCATAACTGTGGGTGTGGTTATTTGGCAAAATTTGGCGTCTTGGAGCCGTCAGTGTACCCTTATACCTATACATCTACACCGAATCACAATTATCGTGTGCTAGACAGTGTTGAGTGTTGCCACCCCTATGTCAGGTGTGTATCGATGATCTGATGCATGGGGCTGATGGGAATATGGTGGAATTTAAGGTAGCTTCGAGTTACACGCTTTAATTGGACTGAACCATTTTTTTTTTTTTTTTGGCCTCATAAAAATCTGAGTCCTCGTCACAAGTACAAATACGCAACTATGTACGTAAAATTTTGTTTACGAGGCAATTTTATCATTTTTCTACATTGGGGTACCAATTTATGCACCAGAACCGTGACGGGTGCATTGTCGTTAAAAAGAGTTGGGTAGGTATTACCTGTATAAGTACATGTAGTACCTACGTGTAATTTTATGGGATTTCACGGGATACGCGGGTACAAGTTGCCGAGTGAGCGCTCGACGGTGCGCGGATGGAAAACAATTTCGTTCGCAAAGATCGTAGAAGAGGGGAATTTTTTATTTTTTATTTTTTATTTTTTTTTTTTTATATGTGGTGTAGGAAACCTTACATAGGCACCTTCCACATGGAAAGGTAGTGCCAGATTCTTACTGGCTGAAACCCACCACCACATGGAGGACCAGCCGGGTTGGCTATACGCTCCTAAAGAGAGAAGGAAGTAAGAGAAGCGGAGAAAAAGATTAGAAGAAGTGAAATTGGACTGCGGAGAGTTGGGGCCAAATCGGAATTCATAGAGTAGAACTAGTTTGGCGCTGACGCAGATAGGTGCGGGACTCGAACAGGGTGTAACCCAGATGGTAAAAGATGAAGTTTTCTTACTAGCTAATGGCACTGAGGGGTGTGCCGGTCAAGAGCTAATTCTGTTCGGAAGATTCGTTGCGAATACTTCGTTCGATCAGTGTTAGGTACAGTGGTGTTTAATTTTTCTGAAGAATAGCTGCCGTTAGATTGGCGACGAATGTAGTGCGTTATTTGGAGCGGGGCCAAAGAGGGACGTCTGGTTGCCTGCTCCCATGGTAGCTTGGGCATAGCTCAATCCTTGTTTGCGTTGGTTGAGAGTGCCCTTGGCTTGGTTGACTGCTTTGATGGGTGAGGGCTGTTGCGCAGTCCTGTTGATTTTGGCAGGTGCTTTTGGGCAACCTTGATAGGAGGACTAGTGGTCCCTGGAACAATTTGCACAAGATGGCTTGGCGTCCTTGGCAGTTCTCGTGGTGTAGGCAGGGGTGGATGGCAGGGCGGCGAAGTGACCTGGTCGACTGGTGACAGAGGAATCGAACTTTTTGATTTGAGAAGAGGAGGAAGGTGAGACGGCCCTTTTACAGCGGTGACGTTGGGGGTTTTTTTTTTCCTACTCCTTGTGAAAAATTGTAAATTCAACTTCATCGGGCTGGTCTTTGGGAAAAAGGAAGAAAATGAGGGCGGTGGTGCACGTTGACGAGGAAGAAGGACGGTTGTACGGGAGAGGGGCCGGCTAGTCGTTACTTAATATAGATAGGGTTAACAAGATCTGAGAGGAGTGCGAAAGAAAAAAGAAAAAAAAGTTACCTCAAGTTACAAGGAGTTTGGAGTTCGAGAGAAGAATATGTTTTTTTTTAATTTACTGATAACGAAGTTTTTGAGCTGGTTTTTTGTCAAAGCTTTGGCGAGACTAACCATGTAAAAAGTGGTTAAGTATGAATAAATGATTTACGGTACATAAGCATCGCGTTTTTTAGTAATATTCAGAACATTAGATCACAACGCATGAAACAGAAGCTATGATATACATGCATTTGTTACAAAACTCTCGAGTTTAGCAAGTTTATTATCTAGCTGGTTAATCCTGTACCCTCAGCCCTGAGATACCAGACATACCTACAAATACATTGCCTACAGACATATTTTACGTAATTTTTAAATTCCACACAAATCATGCATTATTCGTAGTTTTAAAGAAATTTTTATGATTGATACCGTGTGAATTCGTTTTTCTTTACATTTGGATAAAAGTAAAAGTTCTTTAAATTTTGTACCCCAAATCTTTCGAGTAGCCTGGCAACGAATCAAAAACACCTGAAATAACATTTTTGATAGTTTTTTAATGAAACGAGTAAAGTCTAGTTTAAAAAAAAAAAAAACAAAAAAACAAATTTTAATCCAAGGGGTAGATCCCATTATTCAAACTAAACACTCCAGAAGGTACATATGTTTTGTGCAATTGCTCGTAAGTATATATAAATTCACATGAACACAAGCACACATATGATAAACAGCACATGGTATGTGTACATGCAGTAGCAAGTGGACTTTATGAGTTGGATAACTTTGTTTGACAGAGAAGATTATCGGAACGTGTGGTACGTTGTTACAGAATTACGCAGTTTAATGGTCCCGTCTCTCTCTCTCTCTCTCTCTTTAACTTTTGAAACACGATAACGTCTTTTGAATTGAAATTTCATTTGTTCGATCACGTTAGGTGCAAATTGTTCTGTCAAACTGTTCATTGGCGTCCAAAGCACCAGCGAAACAAGTGCAATTCACTCAACAGATGCCATTTCAAACGAAATATCAATTTCAAGCGTCATGTAATAAGCTTCAGCAGCTCATGTTTTCATTCAAAAAAACTCCCTCATATACGTGCACTTGGGAAAAAAAAAAAAATAAGTAAAAAAAAAAAAAAAATAAACATCTTTCCATCTCAAAAAGAATACACGTGGTTGTGCAAGCCACATGAAGTGGCATTTTAAACCGTTGTGAGGGTGAAACGTGAGCTTTCAGCATATCTGGTTCTTTCATCCCAGGAGACTCTCTTCGAGCGCTTTCGTGAAATGAAATTTCACTTTTCATTAAATTTTTCGCGGCAACTGGGAGCACAGGGACCACGCGTCTCTTCTTTCAAAAGCAGCAGAGCGTCACAAAAGAGCTTATCTGAAAAGGGACGCGCAAACTCACTCAAATTTCGATGAAAAAAAAAAAATTCAGGAGCACAGCTTACTTTGGTATACCTTCACCTCTGTATGTGAAATGCTGGTCTTTATTTCTTCCTTTTCGACCATTTTTTCAATTCACGAACAACAACCGCTTACGCCATAGCCTCGTATACCTCTCAAATCTATAAAATTGTCACTACAATTGCGAGACTATAATTTATTACGCCCCAACGCTGCATACTGCGTGTCAAAGCGAACCCACAAACGTGAATGGCCTTAGATTCGTAATTTTCGCGGCTATAGAAAACTTTTTGGGACATTTGATTGAAAAACTTTCTCCCCTGATTGACGCTTTTCAAGCGGATACAAGTACCTAAGCCATTTTGAGCACAAGCGCAAATTTATAAAGTAGACGCCCGTGAGATTTATAATATCATACCTGCACACTATTACATGGACTTTCAGCAACTCCAGCTTTTTACTCCACTTTGAGCTGTTTTATATACCTCAGCGCACGATTTCATTTTTCCCCCTTCGGCAAGAACTTTGGACTTGTTTGTTCCGAACATTCGAACAAAGAGCCTCGATTTTCATTCGTTTTGACATGCACGTGTATTCAAAAAGAAGGGCAGCTCTTTGAATTTTCACTTCCACTTCAGTTTCGCCGTTGAAGATATATATGTATGTGTTACTTCAACGTGATTTTCATTTGTACCCACCGAACCGAAAACCAAGATAAAGTACCACAGCTCGAATAAAATTTTGTATCTCGAGTTTGTAAAAAAAAAAAAAAAAAAAAAAAAACCTGATTGCCAATACACGTAAAGTATAAATTATCCTTTTACACAGGTATGTCAATAGATACAGCATATGTGCTTATGCGCAGCTCTGTGCACAGGTCAAAGAGATGAAAAGCTTGTACGTTTTCAATTCGCATTTCAAAAGGAAGTAGTAACGGGAGTTGAATACATGTAGTGCAGCATAGGGTCAATCGTCTCTACATGTAGCAATCGATGAATGATTAAATCCCCTCGAACGTCCGAACGCGAGGACCGAAAGAGGGAAACGTATACTTTTGAACGGAACGTTTTTCGGTCGTGCATGGGTTCTTTGGAATTTGCTGATATTGGCGCGCTAGCCTCGCATGTACCCGAATGTTGAAAACTAAATGGACAATCCAATGCGTATTTTAAAGTGCTGTTTAATTGGCAAATTTGCATGAACGCGACCCAAGGGAGGTATAGGCTCTTTCATCGAATTTGGAGATCAAAGTGGGAGCGAAAAGCCGATCCCGAAACCTGTTACGAACTCGACAATTTCGTTATAAAACCAGACGGTGAGTTCTCTAGGCGTGAATAGGTACTTTTCATTAAAAGGCTTTTATAACAAATTTTATCGTGTGCGAAAATAATGTTTGCCTCGTAGTCAAAATTTTT